TACATGAAAAAACGGTTAACCGCTCAAACATGGATACTGATCCTGGCATTAGTCATAGAAGAGAGCGAAGTCGAACGCAATTTGCAGCAGACGGAGTTATATGTAGATGAACTACTGCACAAGCTCTGAAATTAGGATGACGCGGCATATGAATGGGACAGAACGCATGCTAACCGTACACCACTTTTACTTCATTATGTGATATACGTAATACATTTCTGGTTTACATTATTCTACACCTTCTTTTTTTTTTTTGCTGCTCTGTTCTGCTCTGGTCTGCTTACTTGTGCTTACTTTTGCCCTGTTTTGTTCGTTTTCTGTGTAGTCCACTTCTTTTAACATGACCATGGGGACAAGGTGGTACAGGTCAAATGCATATAAAATGTAGATTTACATGAATAATATGAAGGGGCAGTATTCTCCTTTATGGGCAATTAATTATTAAAAGCTGCGCACGTGCATTCGCAGGGTATAGTGCAGAACACATACAGTATGCGAATAAGCATTCGAGTATAAGGTGCTTGTCTCCGCGCACACGCGTCGACCAACGCGGCCGGGTAAAGCACATTGTCGACGAGGTAGCCGCGTGTAGGCAGGAGGAGAGATTGTCTCTCCGAGCAAACGCGTCGACCAAAGCGGCCGAGTGTAGGCAGGATTCGACGACGGATTGTCCGAGTGTAAGAAAGGAGGGAGACATTGTCTCTCCGAGCAAACGAGGCCGAGTGTAAGACGGATTCGACGAAGTGGCCGAGTGTAAGAAGGAGGAGAGGTTGTCTCTCCGAGAAAACGTGGCCGGGTAAACGCCCTTATCCGAGTGACGCGGTTCGCGGGACGGATTGTCCGAGTGTAAGAAAGCAGGAGAATTGTGTCGCCGACCAAACGCGTCGACCACCGCGGCCGAGTGTAAGAAGGAGGAGATTATCTCTCCGAGCAAACGCGGCCGCGTACACCGCATTGTCGTCGAGTGTAACCACGATTCGACGACGGATTGTCCGAGTGTAAGACGGACGAGAGATTGTCTCTCCGAGCACACGCGGCCGGCTTCGCACGAAGTATCCGAGTGCAAGACGGATTCGACGAAGTAGCCGAGTAAGCATTGTGCCGAGTGTAAGAAAGGAGGGAGAGATTGTCTCTCCGCACAACGATCCACAGAGGGGGGGAGGCAGCAACACACATCTTATGTGGGAGCATACAAGTACCGGCAACGACGGCAGCAACGACGGTAGCAACGACGGAAGAAGAATTGATGTTGTTGTCGCTACTGCGGTTTAGTGTATAGGGCATACTGGTTTTTAACGGTATTGTTGTTAAAGCAGATATTTGTTGTTACGGGGGGTATTTGTTCTTAAGGGGGGTAGTTTTTGTTCAGTGCGGGTATTTGTTGTTAAGGGGGGTAGTTTTTGTTCATTGCGGGTAGTTGTTGTGAAAGGGGGGGTATTTGTGGTTAAGGGTTCCTCGGGTCCAGGATTTATGTTCACAGTATTGCTATTAAGGGATACAGTAAGGACGGAATAATCTAAGTATGCAGGAAGTCAAATATTTATGGAAGTGAGCTGTAGTCTTGGGGGCTAATATGCATTTAGTGCAGAGTTCAGGTGCGGGTCAGAACCACGAACATATTACCTAACGCAGAATAGGGCCATCATGGCGACGTACTTGGACATATTGTGGAAGGACTATATTAAGACGGGGAATGTTGGGGTAAAGGGTTGTGACCAGTCATGT